CTCAGCAAGAGGGAGGGCAGGGGTTCTATAATCATGGGTGGAGGGCTAGGCTGCTGCTTCTGAGTCTAGGAAAAGATAAAGAGGGTCTGGGAGGTGAAGGGAGCTCAGAGGGTGGACGAGGTGTGGCCTCCATCTGCTGTGTGGCTCCTGAGGGTCTCTGGCAAGCCTTTCACACCCTTCATCTAGGACGCGTGACCTTCTCCCCTGGGGACTGTTTCTGAGTCCTAATCACCGCTCGCTCGCTGCACTCTCTGCCATGCTCTGCCTGGATCAGCAGGTCCTCTTTGTTATTCTCTTGGCAGAGGGCAATCTGTGGCCCTCAGGTATCCCAGGGTGCCAGGAAAAGGTGTGTTTGGGGTTGGAAAGAATTCCTCACTGCCAAGTTTTCCTTGGGACACGGAATTTAAACTTTTGTCCCTGATGGGACTTCGCTCCTCATTTTCCTGAATGACTCAAATGTTTGCTTCAGACAATGACAGAGTGTATCTTGCTTGAATCATTGGATTTCTGTTATTTTTATAAGCTGTGGGTGGGCAGTATGACTCAGTAGTTTTCCAAGAGATGTGAAAATTATATTGCCTATTTTGGGTCATTTCATGCTGAGATCTGGAACATTTTTCTTGAATTTCGAATCTTGGAGCTTGGGAAGTTTTTGTTTTTTGTTTTGCTTTTCAGTCATTTCAGATCTTTTCCAGATAAAATGTTAACAGAAAATGACTTAAAATTACTTAGCAATAGCTCTAAATCATGAGGTATATTTTGAATTATAACCCATTCTACATATTTTAAAATAAAAGTGTTTCTAAATCTAGTAGTGTGTTTGCCCTTTTGGTTGTGAAAAAAATTGGGTAATGTGGGGTTAGTAGAAGGTTGAAGGGCATCCAGTTTGAAGACTTATCTGGTGTGTGAATGCCCTCAGACTTGTTTTCCAGCATCTGCTTGGGCATGTCTCTCTGACAACTGAGTTCTCTTTGAATGCGTCAGGTGATGGAGGGCTCTTTGGGTACCAGACAGTACCACTTTCATGCAACAATTTCACACAAAACTGAAACCTGCCTCCCTGTAGCTTCCAAACGTGGGTCTTACTTCTAATCTCTATTCTCTGCAGATCTCTACTGAATAATTCTATAACAGAGTGATAGTTTTTGAAATACTGCTATGTTATCCTTTTTATAAACCAGGTCCTTTCTCAGCACTTTTTACGATTAATGCTGGAGTGAGAATCTGACGCTTAATGTCCCCAGGGAGGATCATGTCATGGGATGAATTGTGTCCCCCTCAAATTTAGGTGTTGAAGTCCTAACCCCAGTACCTCAGATGGGACTGTATTTGAAAATAAGGTCTTCAAAGAGATGATTAAGTTAAAAGGAGGTTTTTTTTTTTTTTTTAGGGTGGGCTGTAATCCAATCTTACTGGCGTCCTTTTAAGAAGAGGAAGTTTTGGACACACAGAGAGACGCCAGGAGCATGAGAGCATGGGGGGACCCAGGTGCGCAGGGGCGGCAAGGGGACAGTTATCTATTCAAGTCAAGGAAAGAGTCCTCAGAAGAAAGCAATCCTGCCAACACCTTGATCTTGGACTTCTAGACTCCAGAACCATGATGAATGGGTTTCTTTTGTTTAAAATTCCCAGTCTATGGCATTTTGTTGTAGCAAATTAGGATAGATTTGGCAACAAAGGCTAAGAAATATATGCCACAAGGGCAGCTGCTATCAGGTAGGAAGATTGAAGGAGACACGCCAAGTCCTTCCAGTGCGTGTGCATGAGAGCCATCAGGCAGCACTGGAGAAGAGCACAGACAGTGTGTCTGGTGCCAGGGTCCTCGCTGTCCCTGCACCCCACTTGCCCCCAGCCCTGGAGTCAACCCTGGGTAGGAGCCACTAAGGAGCAGTAGAAACACCTAGAAAGTTCTGGAACAGAGGCAGATTTACCACGACGCTAATGAAGCTTGTGTTTCAGGGCCCCAAACTTGCTGAAGCTTCTTCAACATCTGAGGAGGTGCACAAGCAAAGTGTTTACATAATCTTGTTTTTTGAAAATTTGCAAAAGATATTTTAACTGCAACTGGTTAAAACTCCTGCCTCTTTCTACTCCGACTTCCTCTCCTTCACACTTAGCCTTCTGTTGAATGATGGGAGCGTGGCCACAGATAAGGGGAATGTGAGTCAGGGGTTCATTTTGTTCGTTTTTGTGGAACATATTTACGTAGGTCGTAGTCAGATCTGTGTACAGCCATGCTATGGCTAGCTGTCCTGGGATAGAAATGGCTACTGGGTGGTGGCATTCCAGTAAATGTTTAGCAACTGGATTTGTAGTGTTTGCCAATATCTATGGTGTAAATACTCCCACTGTGGCCCATTTCAAGCTGTCAGTATGACATCACCGTTAGCTGAGTTGGGAAGCATATACACCGTTACATAGTAATCAGCATAAGGACTCAGTAGATGTAAATAACCTCAAGAGCATAGCAATGGTAAAATGTAGTGAAATTTTTGGGAAATGATGAGTTTTGAGTATTTATTATCTTTGTTTTTAGTATTATTTATGTAATCATAAGTTTATTTAATTTTTAATAATGTCTATGTTTAACAAGTGACTCCTCAAATGCATGAAAACTTAACAGTGGACTCCTATGAGCCAGAGTGAGCCAGCCTCGTCGCACGGCCATCACCAGGAACACTCCTTCTGCCCACTGTGTTGATTCACCCTGGTTTATGTCATGAAGGTATAGGGCTAGAATTAGTAATTTGATATGAAGCATGTGAAAAAGGGAGGAGAAACTAGGTTTTTAAATGTATGGAGCCAGAAGCTAGTCTGGAAAATTCTTTCAATCATCAGGTATATAGATTTGTACACAGATGATTTGGTTCTCATCAATGCCTATTTGAAATGGAAGTTATTGACCGTCAAGGTTTGCTCAAAAGTGCAGAATTATAAATGCTTATAGTTGAAAGGACATTTCATATACTTGAAAGGAAATTTTGGTCCCCATCCCCTTACCTCTCTCATATTCTCCCCAATGACATTCCCTGTTGCTTTCTTCACTCCAGGTGTTCTTGGACCTTACAGAGTACATTCCTGTCCCAGGGCCTTTGCACTGGCTATTCTGGCTGGAATACTTTCCCTAGGTAGCCAGATGACCAGTCCCTCCTCACTTTCATGTCTTAGTCACTTCTCATGAGTCTTTGCCTCAATCTAAAACTACCACACATCATCTCTCATGCCCAGTTATCCCCTGGACCATTCCTTAACTGAAGTTTTTTTAGATCTTATCACTTAGGATGTCAACTTCCTACACTAGGATGCAAGTTCACGAGGACAGTTATTTGTCTTATTTTACTTTTTAAAGTTCTTGCTGCACCTCTGGCTCCTAGAAGAGGGTCTGGGACATAGTTGTACTCTGATTGTTTCCTTTCTCTTACAACTTTTGTTTGTCCTAAAGTTTAAAGTCAACTTATTTTTTATTTGCTTATTTTTCCAACTGCTTATTTATTAATTTTTCCCCTATACGCCAATACAACTGTCATTAGTTTTTTTTTTTTTTTCTCTAATGTTAAAAAGATCCTTTTGAGCAAAGATCAGTTCCTTATCTTTCAGTCCCTGGAGACCTGCCTCTTTCTTCTGCCCTCCTGTCCTCTCTCATCTGACAGATAACCCTCCAGCCTTCTCTTTTAGGCTGTTGATTTTCCTCATATGCCTTTTTGTCCCTTCATATTTATAATATACATTTCTGTTTATTAGTGTGCAGATAGTTTGGGCTTTTTCTGCAGTTTATCTACATGGTTCTTCCCTGAATGGGAGCCCTGACTGTAGGTTTAAGGTAGGTGGGCGAGGAGTGTTTATAGGCATTCTCCTGGTCAGGTATGTGAGCAGCAGCCCGGCAGGTTGGGGAACTTCTCAGTTATCAAAGGAAGAAGGGCTTTATTCTGGGAAAATAGCAGCTGAGTATATTTCTATCCTGATCTTTTACTCCTCCTCCTTCTCTTCCTTCTTCTTTCTGGCCTCTGTTGTAAGACCGTGTGACCTTCCGCCCTGCTGCTTTTCTAACTCCTCACCCTCAGTTCCCTTATCAGGAGCCCTCCTTTGGCATGCTGCCCACTTTCTATGGAGGGCAGTTCTAGCTTCTGTCTAGATCAGTGGTTCTCCGTGCGGTTCCAGGCCTGCGGCAGCCTTAGCATCACCTGGGACCTTGTGAGATACACAGATTCTTTGCCCCACCCTAGACCTACTGGAACTCCGAGGGTGGGGCTAAGCAATCTGAGTTTTAACAAGCCCAGTAGTCTGACAACTGTTGGCCTAGGGCAAAGCCACTGCTGCCAGCTACTCTGTTTCTGAGGCAAAGAAGGGAGTGTACACCTGTTCCAGGTGGTTCAAAGTTTCTTTAATGAGTTACCCTGGTGACTGTCCCGTGGCTCACTCCTTTTCTTTAAATGTATCGACAGGAGCTTGATGCTTCTCTGAAGCTTTCTTGGGAAGATCCACAATTACTTTTGGTGTGGTTTCCCCTTTTTCTTTTACAATCAATCCAATCCCATCCGCTTTTAAAAAGTTAGCAATTTATCATCATAATACAAGGATGTAAGTCATAAGCCAAACAGTACAAATTACTTACAATGAGAAAAGCAGTCCTCTGGCTGTCATCACTACGCCTTTGCTCCCTCACCCCATGCCACCCAGACCCATTCTCCACACTTTCAGCTGCTTTTCTGTTATTTAACTCTCTATTTCCAAATGAAAATACTTATATGGCTATTTCTCTATTATGGACATTACCTACTGACTTTCTGTTATTGCTATTGAGGATTTTTCTCTTTCTCACCATCCATCCCCTCTTCTACTCTTTCCATCATCTAAATACAGTTATATTACAATTTAAAAAAAACTCAGTAGCCAGAGTTTAAATGGGATTCACTATAGAAAATCATAGTGTACATCAACTAATTTTTTTGCTTACTTTAAACTGCTGATTTATTAATTCCCGCCCCCTCCATACTTCAGGATAACTGTCATCAGTTTTTTTTCCTAATGTTAAAAAGATCATTTCAAGCAATCTATACATTTCCTTATTTTTTAACTCCTGGAGACCTTCCTCCTGTCCTCCCACCCTCCTGTCCTCCTCTCTCATCTGACAGATTGCTCTCCAGGCCTTCTTTTCAGTTACAGTCCTGGGATTTCCCTTCACCATTCTCACCTGGCATGAATCTTAGCAGGAAGTACTTAAACAGCTCAGCATCAAGTCACCCTTCCTTGAATTGTGCTTCTAATTCCTGGCCTCTGTCCTAGTCCCTGCGACAAGTCATTCTTTTGCTATATCCATGACAGGGTAGGCCTAGTACCTAACTTTGTTCTTGCCAGTCTGTTTGCCGTGGGAACGTCACCCAGTCCCTAAACTCCTGTCTCAAGACGGGAGCCCGCCGTTACTCACAGACTTCCTTGATGCCGATAGGTGACTCTGATTCTTGAGTTTATTATCCTTTGGGTTCCATATTACTGGGCCATCTTCAGCATATAGAGGAAAGAGACTGTGAAGTCATATGCAGCTGGGGTCACATCTTACCTGCTCCTCTTGCTAGGTGCATAACCTTAGCAAGTTAAATCTTATTTTCCACATTGGATAAGTCCAAGGATCAAAATGCTACTTTCATTAAGGTTGTTACAGGGATTAAATGAGATAAAGTATACTAAGCATCTAGGGTAGTTCCTGCACGTAGATACTATCTCTATTTTCCGTTCGCTACTCCCCTGTCTCTGGTCCTAACACCAATAGCTTCCTTAGCATTGTCACCTGGTCTCACTTTTCCTTTGTATAAGCTGATCCTTCATGCATCTGCACCTGGATCTGTCTCTGTAGTACCACCTGCCTCTGCCTCTCCCATACCTTGAAACTTCCCTTTGGCCCCCTCAGAAAGCTAAGTCTAGTTTCAAGTAAAGAACCTTTCCAGGCTTCCCAATGCTGCTACAAATAAGTGGATCAAATCCACACTTAGTCTCATGTACCATTTTTTTTTTTGGCAGAGAGTGTTTTCTAGTTCAAAAGATATCTTCTGATACAAGATGAAAATTAAATAGAAGTTGAGAATTTTGCTTTATCATCTGTCAGTATTACAACATCTGCCCCAGCCATCATGCCTACACCTTCCTTGTTCTTTTTCTCACTCTAAATATAGATTAAAGAGTCCTTTTAGTTCTCCCTAATTTATTTTGGCAAGACCTAGCTCATCCTAGGCTTTGGTCTTCCTCATACCTTTTATACAAATCTACGCTGCAATTCTGTATTTGTTCTTAATTGAGTGTTCTCTGCTCCAAGTCCTTTGAAAATCAGGATTTTCAGGGCTCCCTGTGTACCACATGACTAACTCTTTGCTCACTATTTTTTCACTCCTGTAAATTATAAGCTTCTTAAAAGCAGGAACCAGTCATATATTTCTTTCATTAATCCCGTGGCATTGAACATAGTGCCTTACATGAAACAGACCTCAGTAAAATCTTATTAACCCAACTTATTTTTGTTACTACATGCTAACGTAATTCTTCTTGGTGTATTTGTTAAAATCACATTTAAAGCTATTTTTCTCTCAGACATATTAGAATACAAACTTCTTTCCCATAACTGGACCTGAATACTAAGGTTAGCTATACATTAATTCCTATTTTAAAGTATTTAAGCAAAAGATAGCTGGCAATTCTAAACCCTATTTCCAATACTATGAAGAAAGATATTCACTGGTATTTTATAGTTTTTGTGCAACCAGAAAACAAAACTAAAACTTCGAACCCCTTTTGGTTTTAATGTTAATTTCTTAATTAAGACCTATAAAGGAATAAATCTGTGAGGCAATACAATTAAGAAGTAGGACTCACGATTTAATGAAATCTATAGACTTAATAGGTTGTAAATTAGTTATCTATAGGCAAAAGGCTTATAAGTCATTTATGAGGAATTTAAAGACAATGAACAATATCCAAACTTATAACATACATATTAAATGCTGCAATTTTCAGGTCACAAAAGAATTCCTTGTCATTTGTGTTGAATGTGAAAGAGATTCTTTGAGTTTTAAAAACATTTGTTTATTGATCATTAGGAGTGACTGCTGATTGCCATCAATCAGAAACAGGGAAGTATCACCCCTGATATAAAAATGGAAACAAAATTTATTAAGAACTTGTCCATAATTTTCTATTACAGTGTTTATCAATTTTTTCTTTATATCAGCAGTATTGCTAAACACACCTTGAGTGCTTGATAGATGTGTGTTGTTGTTGATACACAAGAGATTTGGCACAGCCTCTCATTTGGTCCCCTTTAAAGATACACACCTCAGCCCCATTACTAGGAAGTACTACCTTGGTTATTGGGTTTGCTTCTTATAACCAGAAAAATCAAAAAACCAATATATATATATCCCCACCTCTACCTAAGGTGGGAGCAAAACTTCCTTTTACTGCCTGAAAAGTAGAATTTTTAGTATTTTACAAATAGGGATGGTGAAGGACATAGGATTTCTTTCAATGTTGTCTGTCCTTTAGGACTACACATTCTCTGATCCACCCCAGTCTGGATTAGATGTCCTTCCCATGTGCTGCCAAAGCTCTTTGTGTTTCTCCCCATCACAACACTTAGAATATTGTGTTAAAATCTTATATTTACTTGCTTATCTCTTTTATGGTGAGAGTTCAGTGAGGAAAGCGAATGCGTCTCACCCTTGTGTTCTTAGCAACTACCAGATATATGGAGCAGATGCTGAATAATGAATGAATGGATGAATAGATGGATGGATGAATAAGTACTTTACTTTTCAATTTTGCCAATCCTCTCAGGCTAATAACATGGACACATACATACAGACAGATATGCACACTTTTCCAGACTTAATCTTTATCAGTAACATTGTGTCACCCCACCAGTTGTACCTTCTCCAATTGTACCAAAGTACCATAGAACTCAGAAGCGGAAGCTATAATCTAGTGTCCTGCATGGCGGTTTTTTAATAAATGGGTTGGTATTTGAAACATGGAGAATTTGTAGGTAATGTACACAAGAGGTTTTTGATAGACCAAAGTAATATACAAATTCAAAGCATTTGTGATGATGGGATAGCTCTAAGATCTAGGCCCCTGAAAGAACAGTTTCAAATTTACGGAAAATTTGAGAAGACAGTATGGAGTTCCCATATGCCGGTACCAAGTTTCCCCTGTTATTAATATCCTCCATTTGTCTGATACATTTGCTATAATTAACAAACTGATACTGATGCATTATAATTAACTAAAGCTTATGGTTTATTCATATTTCCTTAGTTTTAACCTAAGGTCCTTTTTCTTTTCCAGGATCCTGTCTAGGACACCACATTACAATTAATTGCCATGTTTCCTTAGGCTCCTCTTGGTTCTGATAGTTTCTCAGGCTTTCCTTGTTTTTCATGACCTTGACAGTTTTGGGGAGTACTGGTACTTGGTAGAATGCCCCTCTACTGGAATTTGTCTGAAGTTTTTCTCATGGTTAGACTAGGGCACATGTGGAGTTATTTGTAAGGAGACATAGACTAACACAGTGGTTATCAACTGTTTTCTGCTTCCACATTGTCCACATGTGTGGCCCACACCCATAAGTAACATCTCTCATTAATTAGATAAGGGATGGAGGGGTGGCGGCACAGCACTAAGAGCATTTAGAACACTTTCTCTTTTCTGAAAAAGTGCCCCTCCCTATTCCTGTTTAGAAGGCTCAAATTTTACCTCCTTCTTCCATAACCCTTTGGGTTATGAAGCTTAAACAAAATAACAGTCCCATAGCACTTTGATCTCTGAAAGAGAGGTGTTGTCCACTACATAAATATCATTTACTTAACTTCTGAACAAACTCAGGAAAGGCTCTATTTTTAAATTTTATTTATTTATTTATTTATTTGTTTGTTTCTTTGTTTGTTTGTCTGTTTAATGGAGGTACTGGGGATTGAACCCAGGACCTTGTGCACGCTAAGTGTGCGCTCTACTACTGAGCTATACCCTCATCCCCTTTTAAAATTTTTAAAAATTTACTTTTAAACTTATGAAAAATGACAAAAATACAGAAAAGTTGGAAGACTAGTACAAAGAACACAAGATCAGATGACTTTGGGAGATGTTGAGTCAAAATTGCACGGACTCCAGATTTGTTTTTGTTTTTGAACAGCAGAAGGCACAGTATGTAACGTTGCCTAAACTTACTTGACTATGGAAACCCTTCAGTCCCCAGAATATTTCTTAGTGTAAGTTGTTCCACAGAAAAAAGTGTACCACCAGTGGGCTACCTCTCATGCTTGGTGTATCCATATCTGCTCAGGAGCCTTCGGAGGACAGAGGACCCTACCTACGCAGTCTTGAAGGGATGACTTTATAAATGGGAATGTTATGCACCCTGGTAGGCTGATGAAGAGAAGCACTTGGCATGGGTGGTTTTTTTCAGCACCCCCAAATCACTTTGCGTAGGACAAATAGTCTATGGTCTTCTTCACCAGAAAGTGTCCAGAGCTCCTGGTAAATATTCCTCCATTTTCCCTTCTTTTGTTAAAATTTTTTCTAACCATTGTGTTTTTTCCTCAAGTATGGATAGTCTTTCGGAAACAAGCTCCTTCGGTTTCTGAATCTGTAGGAAGAAAAATAAATATCTTCTAAAGAAAGAATGTACGGGCACTGACTGAAAACTTGAGGAGCACACAATAATAAGCAAATTAAATTTTATGTATAGAAAGAACACAGTAGAGTCAGAGGACTGGGAAGGTAGGTTTTGAACAGCGTTTTGAAGAAAAGGGAAGGAGAAGGGATACTAAAGAAGGGACCAGCAGACATGGTCATGGAGACAGACCAGTCTTGGTGGTAGTAGGAAGCAGAGTCGTTAGGTTGGAGCAAACAATTCTTTTTAGAGAAATGAAGGTTTATGGACAAGTGGAGTGTTTAAAACAATCCACAGAGTAACTGAGATTTGATATGAAAATTAGGTAAGACGCATAGTAGGTACAAGAGTACCGGCAAAGGGGAAAGGCACAGGGATCCTCACGGTCATTGCCAACCAATGCTGGTGTGGAGCTGGGCGCTTTTCCTCAAAATATTTTCTTTCTGAAATTCTCTTTCCCCCCTTGTTTTTGGGATGATACACTCCTAGTCTTCCCTCGTAACCTTCCAGGTGCTCTTCTGTCCTATTATTATTAAGAAGTAAAATAATTTTTCATAATTATAGCTAACAGCTATACGGGTTATTACATACAGAGAATTGTGGCCTGTATTTTGTTCTCTCATTTAATGCAACTAACTGTGTGAGGTAGATATTCTTATCATCCCTTAAAATGAGAAAACTAAAACCCAATAGTTAGTAAGCTGTCACAGATAGTAGGTTGTGGAATTCAAGCGCATGCTCTTAATTACTATGTATGGAGCTTGTCACTAAAATTTTGACATTACCTAGAGTTCCGGCCTTCATCCCTTTCTTCTCAAGGTCAAATCTTTGTGTTTACAGTTTCTTTAACCTTTCCTCACAGGTTTGTGTGCCTTATAGTGTTTTTATTCTTATTGATTTTTTTTGACATACCTTTGGAATTAGTTCCATTTCCAAACTGGAGATTCAACTAAGTAGACCAGGCGAAAATACACAGAAGTGATGCTGATATTCTCATTTGATCCTATTAGCTGGTGGAGGATTTTGATTTGTCCCATTACTGATGGCACTTGACCGCTTGATTGACTTCTCCACTGTAATGCTACTTTAATTTCCTTTAATTGTGGGCATATACTTTGAAACTATGTATATTTTTCAATCCTTTTCAAACTTTGTTTATGTTTATTTATATCTGTGTGGTTTCCTATGGTATTCTACAGGTTTTAATACATTATTATCATTTTTTATTTTGTCCCAGGTTTGGCCAGAGGGACACAGGTTGGCTTGTGTCCTTTTGATATGAACATGTCCTTTTTTTTCTGGCACAACTAGCAGCTTCATTCTCATACTGTATTTCTCTTCTCCAGGTCTGGAATCTGCCATTTTACCAAGAAGTAAAATGAAGAGGAGAATGGTATTGAGAAGCCAAGACCTGGGCTAGATGTACTAATTATTTTGTTGTGTTGCAGAACCTCTCAGTGGACAGAGTATGTACGGGCTTATACACCCATGTCTATTTCTATAAATAGAAAGAGGTTGACACCTCCATTACCAGCTCACTACTAAAAGGTTCATTCAAGTTTCTTTCCATATTTGTGACTCTCTTCCTCAACAGTGAAAAATTGGCTCCCATTTTCCTTAATATATTCACTTATTGGATCAATCCTCTTATACATAACCAACTTCCCATCACCGCTGCTGTCCCCTCCTCTGCTTGGCTACCCTCTTCTCTTCACCTACGCTGACATCCGAAGGCCAGGTGGCCCCTCCAGCACCGGGAACACCCATACCAGGTCCCTTCCTCGTGTGGATGCCCTCCTCACCCTGACTCCAACATGATAGCTTAGGCTGCCTTTCTGTCCCTGACAACACACATCCTTTACGATGTACTTTTAAAAATACGTGATCTCTTTTGCTTGTTACAAAACCTCTGTGAGGTAGTTAAGGAAGATATTATTCATAATTTTTCTTTGAACAGATCTTTAAGGTGTTAATTCAAGAGAGATGCCTCTAAACATATGCTAAAGTTACAGTAACTCTTCTCTTTTCTTCAAGATACATGTTTAGAACTCATTCACTTTGTGGTCAACTCTGATTTCCAGGTGTTTCTTTTCCTGCAAGTCTTTTTGTGACAAGCCATGGTGTGGTAGAGAAAGGACTGGATGCAGAGTGGAGAAACTAGCTCAAGCTCAGATCTGAGACTTTAGGCAAGTTAATTACTTTTCTCAAAGATAAAAAGATTAGAACAGATCAGTGATTCTCTGCCTGGGGCTGGGTGAGATGGGAACTCTAGGGAGTTTACCAGAGATAGAAATGCCTGCGAAATTCAGCTACAACTATCTGATCCCGTAATTCTTAATATCCCTTCCAATTAACGTCGTTATGAGTCCAAGGCAATCTTTCTCTATTGGATATATTAGCTGCTTTTACTCCTATCAATCTCATCCTTCCTTTAAAAATATTTATTAGTGGCCTATTATGTGCCAAGTACCTTATTATCTGGCTTTATCTGGATATCTGTAGTATCCCCTTTCCGAGGTGTCACAGTCATTTAGAATTTTATCTCGTATCTTCCAAACTCGGAAGTCGAACGCATTCGCATCTAAGTCGTGTTTTTTATAAACTCGCAGGGTTCCTCTCCGGTCCTTTCTCCAAGCACCGCATTTCAAGTTTCTCTTGACTTACAGACATTAAACGAATTCCTCTTGGGAACAGCCTCCCTTCACCTATCGGTGGCTCCATCAATACATTTCCTAGCTGGTCGGTGGGAATTCGGGTGGGACGTTTTGGAAGTTTGAATGACTCGCTAGCACACTCTTGCCCCTCAGCAGGGCACAACTGTTTCGCCGTGCTGTTAACACTCGGCTCGGACCCATGGAGGTCGCGAGGAGGCTGCTAATCGATTTAAGATTGTCCCCCGGTCCAGAGGTGGCCCTGACGGGGCTCTAATTTCCTCGTTCCCTGACTCAGAGCACAGACGCAGCGTGCACCGCCTTTCACTGCGCAGGAACTTCCCCAGCCTCTGCGATCACTCAGAAATGCCGGAGCCGGCTCTTCGCACGCGCCCGCCGTGCTCCTCCTGGGGCC